ATCAAGATTATCACCAGACATACAATCAAGCAGTAAACAATACCCTAATCAAGGAACTGGGTGGGGGGGGAATAAAACAAAACAAAACCCACACCCCCACCAACCCAGGCAGGGCATGCCACTGAATATAAACAGAGAGCAAATCCCATTCCATTCTAGCACTGAAGATGTTACCTAGCTGGGTAACGAAACATTTGCAAGAAAACAACCAAGCTCAGAGAACCCCAAGGACTCCACACTTCTTTCATGTGTAAGTGTACCTTAATTATCTTGACACTTGGCTCAGGGGTCCACTGACTTTTGGAGTTGGTGGGCACATTTTGAACTATAAGAATATGTTAAGGGTACTCTTGAACAATGGCTGCTGGGGAAAGACATAATCAGCTAGAAAATACTGATTGACCAATTTTACATCATCTCTTCCTCATCCCACTATATTCCATTTATCTTTGTCTTTCTAGTCACATTAAAAATACCGGGGTACACCTGCACAACTTTTTCATAGCACACAGAAGTGATATTAAAAATGCACTGAAACAGGTGTACATCAGCTGAGAGAATGAGGAGCCAAAGGAGAACACATTATCTTTGGGTGCTGTATTGCCTCAATATTTCATTCTGCTTGGGCAAAGACCAGAGAACTGTCCCATACTCTCATTTCTCATGCACTGTTCCCACTGGTAATGTGCTAATGTGCTTCTTTCAGAGATTGAATTAAAAGCAACTGTTCTTAGGATCAGCCAATATGTATAGCTACCTACCTACCTGACCACCACTGTGCCACCTAATTGATTAGCTCATGAGGCTGTTAATAAATCAATCAGGAGCCTTTAAGAAAGCCTGCTGAATCGAGTTCCCTTATCAAAGTCTCTGGAGTAACACTGTGGCAACATTTGTAGTCCTTTGTGTTTCACATATTGATGTACTTCTCTGTCACAGCATGGGTTTTTAAAAAAAAAAATCAGCCAATTAGATTTAAATCAAGTAATTAAGCTGCTTGCATTAGAAATACTGGCATAAAAAATCCGAGGTGATAAATAAAAGATTTCAAAATTTGCAGAAAGGAATATAAGCTTAAATGCTATACAGATTATGTAGTATTAATTATCACAGAACCACAAAAGGCAATAAAACAGTCAATGAAAACAATTTATAATTAGGGAGAATATTTTCGATATAAAATCAATTTTTTGCAAGAAGAATCTGGCTGTCAGATCACTCAGCAAAATATCTAGGTTTGCACCTGACACGAAACAATAAAAAAAAAATCAAAATAACTATGTTCAATTATGGCAAGAGATTAAAAGAGACCTTGAAAGGTAGAGGATCCCAAAGCTATCTTGGTTAGGATCTATAGCAATTATCAAAATGAATCTATTATCCAAATAAACTATTTATTCCTAATGACACCAACTGGAATTTCAGAGAGTCGTACAGGAATGGCAAGAAACTGTCAGTAAATTCATATGGAGCTGAAAAAAAATGTAGTCAAACAAAAAATTCTACAGGATTCCAAAGAGAGAGATGGCCTTGCCCTTCCAAACTTTTGATTGTACTATAAAGCAAGTTCCCTGTCATGGATAACAGAGTGGATAAAAATCTCCAAATAGCAGA